GCAGATCAGGGGTTGGGTAGAATGGTAAACGCAGCAGTTTACATCTACAATGGAGAGGAATCTGCCGGGATCTACGATCACACACATCTTGAAGAGACACGGCCCATAAACATAATGAATATATATATTCATATACAGTACAGCTCTTGATTTTGCAAAGTAGGTTCACTTAATATATACACGAAAAAGTTGATATTTGATTTAAGTCTTAAATAAACATTTATATTTTTAAAGTAAAAAAGAGACGGTTGAACATAGCATTTTGGAAAACATAATGAGGAAAGATGGCTTGGAGAATTTAACACTCAAAGGCAAAGTGGGCAAAGGAAAACAGCAAGTAATCTATCCAGCGAGTTTGTGAAGAGACCGAAAAGCCAGGTTTGAAAAGTAATGGTAAGGGGACAGATAATTTTAAGAGTTATAACGGACAAGAAGCTGTGGAGAGCCATGATCACGCACGTTCTGGCGGGACGCAACAGATAAAAGAAGATTAAATTTGGACATTTAACTCCTACTACTATTTAGGTTCAGTACAACTCTACTCCATAAGTAAAATACAGTTTTTAACTACAGGGGTTCCTCGACTTACGACAGAATTCCGTTCCTACGATACGCCGTGAAGATATTTTTCAAACAAAACTTATCCGCGATTTTCCGTAAATTAGCAACCAGGAACTAACTACTCTGCCTTTCTCATTTAATCACCGTATGACGACGTATTCTTCCGCCGCGCAATGTATTCTTCTGTCGTACCCTTTGAGTCGTACGTACGAGGCAGACTTCATTAGTCTAAATAAGATTTATGGCGTTTGCGTCGTAACCACGAATCGTCGCAGTTTGAGACTGTCGTAACCCGGGGATTTACTGTATATTTTTATATCTATTACAGATTTTAGTGCTAAACTACTACGTAATATGACTCAGCCTATATGACAGAGAATGATGTATAATCTGATAGATGAAAAGAAGCTTGGAGGTAGAAGAAAAGTAGTTCTACAGAAGGATGCTGAAAATACAGGGACGAAGCGCGTAAGCAAGTTTTAAGGAAAATGGAATCAAATTGGTGAAATTTCTTAGACATAATGAGGAATTAAGGCTTGGAGAATTTGACACTCACAGGGCATATAGAAGGCAAAATGGACAGGTTTGGGAGGCAGCGGTCCACCTACATGACCAATTTGTGTGAATAGCTGAAAGAATGCTAAAAAGAGTTACAAAGGAGAGGAAGTTGTTGAGAGCTATAATCGCTGGAAGGACACGCTACGTAGAAGATAATGCAAAATTCTAGCTAAAATAACTAAAAGAGAGAAACACAATATTATAACCGGTGCGTCCATGTGCGTCTTCTATAAATTTACATCATTAGCGAAAGCTAGAAACGAAGAAGGAAGCAAGCAACCAACTTTAGATTTCTCTTTGTTCCTATGCTGTAGCCAGTTTAGTTCAACGCATCATGTCAGCGAATATGAACAACAGCAAAATCAAAGATTGGCCTGTTGGCCTTTTGAGAATGCTTAATAATTAACAATTGAATGATCTTTGAGGTTCACAGTCGATAGGAATTTAGGAAGGCTTCTTTTGTTTTTCAATTTGCTTTTTTGTGCCCATGCGTATATGTATAATTCACAGGCAAATTTTGTTTTACGCGATTAATTCATCCCATTTTTTTTACCTACGTTAAAAATAATTCGCGTTAAGTGATTTTTTAAATAATAATAAGAATAAGAAGAATAAGAATAAGATGAAGAATAAGAATAAGAAGAATAGGAATAAGAAAAAGAATAAGAATGTGAATAAGAATAAGAATAATAAGAAGAATAAGAAAACGAATAAGAATAAGAAGAATAAGACGAAGAACGAAGATGAAGGAAGAAGAAGAAGAAGAAGAAGAAGAAGAAGAAGAAGAAGAAGAAGAATACAATGATGTTCACCCTGTACCGATGGATTGCGGAATCGGAGAGCCGAGTTTGAATTTCAGTCTAAGTTCATTACATTCAGTTACTTGCTAAGACCTGGGGAAAGGTACGAATCAATACCTTCCCTACCCCCAGATATGGACCAGTAGCCGGACAGGCTGGATTCTATGACAGGCTGGATTCTATAGTGTTGAGTGGCAACCGGTCCTAGGAGAAAACTCTGAATTCAAACAAGCCTGGAGAAGTTTGGGCTCTGTCAGGCTATCTTGTCAAAGACACGCCGCTTCTACTGTGGCTACAATACAGTGCCCCATGACTCTAATGAGTTACGGGACTCTTGATCGTAATCGTTCACCCTTTATGAGGTCCAAGAGCCAGAGGGTTACAAAGTAAGAGACACGGTTTATGGAGATATATAGGGAAAATAATGATATAACCCGAGACATAAACAGATTAAGGTTGTAATGATCAAGGAAGCAGGGAGTCGATTTTACAAAGAAGCTTTTTGTGGGGAGAAGCCAATCGAGTGGAACTTACATCTTACCAATGGAATACGAAGGAAATGAGGATGGTTTGCTAAAATGTGCGTGGTATGGCGGAATCAACGAGAATAATTGATTAATAAATAAGCTTGTTCACGTATTAATTTCATGTAATGCTTTCTAATACCGTGACAATGGAATATTCAATAATTAAAATGAAGAGATCAATATGTTTTATCAATGTATAAATTCACAGTGTTTTTAGACACTTAAACCGCCAATTTTTCAGCAATTTTAATACGGGAAACACTAGCAAGTATTTGAATTCCACACATGACCAGACGAATTCATTAGGCAGACTCAGGTAGTGTTGTATTGAATAATAGTTTAATATAACCCTCTAACAGTCGATTATGTGTAGAGCTACTAGAGACAGGTAATTAGCAAGTCAGAGGTATATTATTGGATTGTTATCACGTTACTTTCCTTGGTCCGGCAACCCTGATAATTCGGGGCACTTCGGGGACCAAGAGAGCCGAAACACATCGTTGGTGTACCTGCATTACTGAATAGGTACCAGTTTTGTGAAGTTCTAAATTGCCTATCAAAGTTTCCTCAGAATGTATATTAAAAGCACCATTTAAGATATATATATATATATATATATATATATATATATATATATATATATATTATCAGCATTCACCCCTAGCAAGGCGTGAGTGCCGATAGTACGCAAGGTGGTACAGAGAGTGAAAGCGAGAGAAAAGAATGAGTATAGGGGGAGGATTGAGGAAAGGATAAAAAGAAGAACGTTGATCAAGGCATCAAAAGTTGTCGATTGACATTACATTTAAATTTTTGAAGATTATAGTTATCAGGGAAGCAAATAAAAGGAAGGGAGTTCCACTGAAGGGAAGTGAGTGAGAAGTTGTTGGAGTAGAAGAGGCGGTTACATTTAACTGTTTCGATAGTAAAAAGGTGGGACCGATATGCTAACCTAGTAGCACGCTTAAATTCATGCAGTTGGGGTGCTAGTGAAAACAGCTCGTCGGAGAAGTTGCCATGAAAATATTTATAGAAAAGACAGAAGGAAGCCACATTACATTTGTGAGAAAGTGAATGCTTTCGAGCTGCCAACTCAGGACCGATCACATTGCGTAGACGTGTTTGGATTTTGTCGAAAACCTCGAGATAAACAGCGGGGAACCAGACCATATATGGCAACAGTATTCAGTGCATGGACGAATGGAGGATTTTTAGATTTGAAGGATGGACTCAGACGAGAAAAACCTTCTGGCGTGACATAGAGAAGCTAACTTTCCTCGCGGTAGAAGCAGCTATTGATTCAATGTTGTTCCACCTCAGTTCAGTGGAAAACGTGAGACTACGAAGGCGCTATGAGGCGCGATTTAACTTGGTATTTTCTTGCTGGGGTGAAAGCCTCGACGCCGGCTTTTACACAGGAGGAGACTTCAAACGCATATTTTTGAACGGGGCGATTAAAAACCACATTGGAAGGGACGTCGAGAAGGAAATCACGGAACTAAATCCCAGTCTGCGCGTTGATAACAGAAAGGTATTCTGTTGGTAGGAGGTTCATGGCTAGAATGGGGAGGAAGGAGATGTTAACAGACACTACCGCGCGATCAAAGTTGCCAAGAGGATAGAGCTGCGTAGCGCGACAAGAATCAAGGATGGACGTAAAACAGAGATCGAGAAAGAAAGCGTTACTGTCCGGGTTGCTGGGCAAACGCGTAGAAAAGTCAACCACTTGTGTGAGGGATTCAGTGATTGAAAAGTTTAAGGTTTGGATGCCAGCGATCACAGTTACAGGGCGTTTACAAAAACTTTTCGAAGAGGAACGATTCCACACTGCAGAAGTTGGTACGAATACCACGGATTTTGGAGAAGGAAATGATAAATGATTCAGATGTTTATTTTTTGCTGGTTTAAGTTTATATTTTTGGTTGTTTATGGTCATGTCGTGTTATGTTTGTAAGGAAAAGGCCAAATGTAATAGTTGCAGTCTGTCATCAAATGTGACATGAGCAGAAAGGTACTGGCGCAAACTGCAATGTAGTGTGTCATCGGGGTTGCCCATCGGAGGTGCATGCAGGGACACTCTTCCATGCGCGACATGACACTGCAAGAACCCCGATATTATGCAACTCCTGATCCGAGCTGCCTCTCAAGACGCTATACAAGATTCGGGCCCCTAACTATCAGTCGGGAACAGCAACCAAAAAAAAAAACACCAACCCGGTACCCTCAGTACGAGAAAACGTTGCCACAAGCCGTACACCTCACAAGAGATTCACGATAGTATATTACTAAGGCCAGGGAAAAGGAAAGTATCCGGGAACCCTTTCTTAAACAGGAAACAGGCGATGAGCCTCTAGTCCTGTTCAAGAGAAAGAGGAGGAGTATTGACCGGGCGATAGAAAGGCCCAGCCGATCAAAATAAATCAACAAATGGCTTGGCATCCAGAGAAGTTACTATCACAAAGAACGAGTTTCACCCACATAACTCAACTGGAGAGCCAAACTGGGAGACACGGACGCCTCAGCGGGAGTTATGTATGTACAGCTCGCCCATGAGCTAAAGGGTTAAAAGACACATTACGCGGAGAGAGTAACGGGAGATGCCTGTACATTCACTACACCAGCCCATATGGATTAGTATAGATGGATACATGAGAGGCATATGAGTCGTAGGGGGTATGACCAAGGAGTCCAAAACTGAATTATAACGTTTTAAATTAGTTAAAGTGCAACATTCACTTCTTGTAGAAGGACACTCCATCGCCCGTGAAGCACATTTAAAAATTGCGTCTTATACATGCACAAATCAGAGAAATCACCAATGACTTAATATTCAAGAAAGTTTTCAACAAGGGTAAAATAAATTCAATTCAATTAAAACAATAAAAAAAGAGAAAAATATATAAAAACTTAATACCGAGGAAAACTTATACACCCACTTTGGAGAGAGAAGGATAAAGAGAGAGACAGACAGACAGAAAGGAATGTTAATAAAATAAAATGATTAAAGAATGAATTCAAAGAGATACATACAAGCATGAAAGTTGACGGTATTTTTTCATGTCGCTGCTTAGACCAATATTTAAGCATGGAGTGACATTTTTTTGCTAGTATTTGCTAGCTAGTAGGACCGAATTTAAGTCCGTCAGGCCGAAGGAAAGGAGACACTGCATAATAAAGAAATTAAGAACAGTGCTCAGTGTACAAAAGTGGGCTGAAAAGTTCATAGGCTGACTATAAAGGAATACATATTCATTTATTCTGAGTACTTTCGACATTAGCACAATGTCATCATCAGGATGTTGTTTTTTCGAAGACAAAATTGTTGTGTTCATCTGAAAGTTTATATCAATGTCCACTTTATATATATATATTTATATATGGACATTGAAATCAACACCCACAGGCGACAGTCTGTTTTATGCTAAACGCAATTGTCATGGTTCTGTTTAGCATTACACAGACTGTTGCTTCTGGGTGTTGATGCCAATGTCCACTTTTATATTTACATACACTCTATTCTGATACTCAGCACTTTAACCCATAAATATAGCATACATTAAAACTATATTTTATCATATATATATATATATATATATATATATATATATATATATATATATATTGATGCATGTTTCATTAAATAATATAGACAAGTTTTGTCTATTTATTTTAAGTAAATCCCTTTCATATTGTCTGATAAGATTAATAAATTTATCATTGAAAGATGAAAGAAAAACACCATAATGATACATAGTTTTTAATTCTATCTAAGCTTTCGGCTTACATAAGCCATTTTCAAAGATGACAATTACATTTCAATATATTAAACAATACATGAACAAAACAATAGTGATAGTCTGTTTTGTTGAATGAAAGATTTCCAAGCAACGACAAACTCCTATGTACGAGACGCGGAAGCGAAAATCGGACGACAGCTCGTTACGTCACGCGTCATCACGCGAGAGTGAAAACAAGAAGTATTAAGTATGTGAAGCCGTTGGTATAAACCAATGGCTTCTCTTATTAATTATAGACATTTACGAATATTTGTGAAGATTTCAGAGTTTATTTTGTTCAGTTGTTTAATGAAACATGCATCAATGAAAAAATGCTGCCTAAATACACGCAATATATATATATGTGTGTGTGTGTGTGTGTTTGTGTGTGTGTGCGTGTGTAGATTATTATATACGAACGGAAAGTAGATAAGTGAGAGTATAGAAACTTTGTTTGTTCGACCAATAATTGATTCAAACACTCTGTTTGATCATTTGGTTAGATTTTGGGAAATGTTATCGGGTTGAGGACTTTCATATTTCAAATTTCGCGGTAATCTTCGGAAGGATCTCGCAGTAAGTAAATAATTATATGCTTAAGCAAGATACGTTCGTAAATATCCAAATTGCGGCCATTGAATTTCGCGATGACTGAAGTGACGAATAACGCTTTATACCTGTATACTTGTCTACATACGCATAGGTGATTACATGGTGATAATTCGAAAATTACACGAGAAAATAAAGAGAGAGAGCGAAAAAATCGCGCGCGCGTGTGCGTGTGTGTTGGTGTGTGTGTGCGTGTATGTACAAGAAACAAACAGATATGTAATAAAATAAATTAACCTGGTTTTCTCAACAAAAATAATGAGCGGAAAGACATTTTAAGAAAGAAAGAAAGAAAGAAAGAAAGAAAGAAAGAAAGAAAGAAAGAAAGAAAAAATAGGAAAACCGTCGAAGTAACAAAGTATAAAAGAATAAAAGAACAGAAAATAGCTAAAAATCAAAAGAATTTAAAACATTCTTATCGAAAAAATTATGCCAAGAAAGAAAGAAAGAAAGAAAGAAAGAAAGGAAAAATGTAAAGAAAACATAGACAGAAAAAAGAAAGAAACTCCGTAGAAATAATAAAGTATAAAAAGTGAAAAGATAAAAAGGACAGTAATGAAGAAATAAAAATGGTGAATTTAAAAAAAAAAAGCTATGAACAAAAGAATGTGAATCGTTTTTCTCCATAAAAATTAATGCGAAGAAAGAAATTTAAAGACGAGAAAGAAAGTAAGAAAGCATAGAATAAAAGAAAGAAAATCCGTAGAAAGAATAAAGTGTAAATTTGAAAAGAAAAAGTGAACAGCAAGGAATAAAAAAAAGAAGAAAAGAAAAAGAAGAAAAGAAAAACACGAGAAATGACAAAAAAAAAAAAGAAGGTAAATTGATTGTCAAAGAAAGCCCGACAACGCGTGCGTACCTTTGGGGAATAAATGTTTTTACATTTAGTTTATTTTGTATCTGAATGAATAGGAAGCCGCGTTAATAACACAAAAAAGGATGCCAACAACGAACGCATCGAGAAAGAACTTAGTTGGCAAGCACGAAGAGACCTTTGTGAGCTGGTATTGAGAGGAATGAAAAAGGCGGGCTTTGAAACAAAATATAAATTAATACAAAAATAATGACTGAAAATGAAGACATATTCAAAAATAGAACAAAACAAATGCATTTAGAAATGTTCAATCTCACGAGATAATAAATTGAGTAATTGCTTAACAGACACACACACACACATGTATATATATATTTTTGTTATGACGAAAGCAGAGGTATAAGATTTCATATCAATATATATTCATATACAGCCACATAATACATATATGCATTCATATTCCGAAGAGGAATCACTATAAATAAAACAAAGTGACATGGATATAGTTTGGCAGGCAGGGTGGGGCGTTAAGGAACCGTGACGCGCAAACAGACATATACATGCATATTAAGCATGGGGTGGGGTGGGGTGGGGGTTACCATGCCTGTCTTGAAAAATTAATTCTCTAATGTACTGAGTTCGATTCTTGTTCGGTGAAGAGTAGAAAGGAAGAAGGTAGATTATCCAAGATCAACTTTCGAACAAGTTCAGTCAAGTGAACTGATGACGATTCTTCCTCATCAGTTAGTGTTCGAAGAGCAATCAAATATTGTCAGAAAGGATATAAAAGCGAATGTTCGTTAATTCTATTTCATCGATCTAAAATGTTAGCAACTGCATTTTCAATGCCTATGGACGTACAGGAAGGCAGATATATGATTCCATTGTTTAAGGAGATGTGGTTGCTTTCTCGAAAAAAAATCTTTGACTCTTTTCAACTTCTTTGTTTCTAGATGTTCCGACACTAATGAAATCTTGCGATCGAAAGAAATGAAAATATGTTGGTACGTATAGAGGATGGAGAAGAACCTACCATCCTAAGAATCTTAATTTGGGGTGGAGGTGTTTTGCAGATGGTACCCCCTTTGCATTATCAAGTTGGAGTATGATGACGTTTCTGTGTGCCAAAACAAAACAACTTCGATGCAATACTTCGTTTACTCCAGTGCTTCTCAACCTTTTTTTACCCATGGACCCCCTTTTCCTTTCTTTTTTTTTTTTCTTGGTGGAGCCCTTAATAACTATTTGACATAAGACACTAATAAAAATTTTGAGGTTTTAATAATCAAAGAAATATTATATCATTCAGCTTTATTTTTAAATGAAAACTAATTTAATGCAAATAAATTATTCTGCAATAATAATAATAATAATAATAATAATAATAATAATAATACTTTGAAATCGAAATCTCAAAAATGTGGCACATGGGAACATCAACAATCCCCGTTGCAATTGGAGCCTTCGGATTGGTTGGAAAAAATTCCAGTAGACTAATTGAAGGGATTCCTGGAAGCCCATGCCTTAAAAAAATACAAAACATTGTTCTCACGAGTACAGCCCACACCTTACGAAGGGCTTTGTCGATGTAGATTTTTTTTTTCCAGTGGAAAATGTCATGATGCCATTTGTAAGATTAGGTCCCTGGGCAGGATCCGAAAAGAAATGAGTACACATTAAAAATCGAAGAATTAAAATAAAGGTAATAATAATAATAATAATAATTATTATTATTATTATTATAGTAATAATTTTTATTGACCAATATCTTGTATTACAATATTACAATGTTTCTTCCATAGTCAATACTATAGGGAGCAGAGCTCTTCAGGCAATTGAATTCACTGCAGCATTTATTTAAGCACACTGTTTAAAAATTTTAATAAACCAATTTAAGTGTGTGATTAGAAAAAAAAGAAAGGCATATTTATTCAATGAGATCCTTGGGGTTGATGTTGCTCAGCTAATTTCTTTATATCTGGTTCCATCGATGTTAATCAGAATCAAAGATCGCCTCTTTTCACAATGTCAAGTCTATTGTGAACTTTTGATAACAGTTGAAAAACACCGCTAAATCCAGATTCAAGATATTAGAAAAGCAACATAAAATAAATAAAGATTCATATATATATATATATATATATATATATATATATATATAAAATATTTTAAATAAGTTAATTTATAATACTTATGCTCTGTAAATTTATATTGAGCACTGTTTTGTAAAAATAAAATATATATATATGTGTGTGTGTGTGTGTGTGTGTGTGTGTGCATATTTCAACATAGTGTAAATTAGAGTAGAAATTTAATTTTTAATAATAAAAACCATTCTGAGTTGTCTTTCTTCATGGACCACCAAAATATCATTGTGGACTCCCAATTTGTTATATTTTGTCTATGGGCTCCAGAAATATTGCATGGACCCCTAGGGCCTATGTAAACCCTGGTTGAAAACCCTTGATTTACATGATCAAGTTGCTGGCAATAAACGCCAAGGAAAAGAGTGGTAACAGCTATTGGACTTGAGAAACGTGGAAAGTGTTTTAAGAGGAATCGCTTATAAATTTCAAGCGAAAACACTACTGGCTGATCGGTCAATGAATGCCAAATGCTTCCTTGTAGAGAAACGGTTAATATTATCATTATCATATATACAATATGACTCCAAAATGGCTGACCGATAATATTCATCACCGATATGTGGCCTCCAAGTTCTTCTGACATAAATCTCCTGGAATTAAACTGAAAGCAATACTGGCTGAACGGTTAATGAATGTCAAACGCTTCCTTGTAGAGAAATGGTTACTGGATTCTTTTACAGCGTCCAAGATGGATTCTTTTACATGGCTTCGTCTCCAAATGTCCTGCTGTTTACCTATGGTTTGAGGGAGAATTATGTTTATGCTTTTACCAATGGCATAAGAGCAAAGTAAACGCAAACTATCCCAACCGGTATTTGAACGTGATTTACTCAATCCGTGATGTTAACGTGTAGACCATCTACACCCCATAATGTTGGCCAAAGAGTCACTCAAGGTAGAGGACTACTAAATGAGGTTGTTGTAAAGGTGTCATCTGTGGGAGTAAGACGTGCACATTATGAGGATATATAGGATAAATAACGATTGGCCTAGACTTCAAAAGGCTAAGATTGTAGGGATAGAGGAAGCATTCCCTCGAATGTCTCTTCTACAAACATTTCTGGAGTAGAAGCTACCTAAATGGAAATGTCCCCTTACCGGAGTGGGTCCTAGTTGTGGACGTCTGCACTGGTGGAACTAAAGAAAGTGACTCGTCCGAACATTTACCATGGAAATAGCAATCGGGTAACGAGGGGCTAGCAACGTTTCATCTGTGGGGAAAGGAGTTGTAGGTTAGAAGATAATTCATCACCCACATGACCGATTGTGGTCTGATTTGACTCTCGTAAAGATAGATCTCCTGACAGTAGGAGTTTCTCAATTGATACAAGGGACCGACCATTCTTTCAGTATTTTTAGCAATAGCAACGAATATACGCACGATGGAATAATGGATAACGGCTCGGACTGAGGAAGCGGAGAGCCGAGTTCGAATTCCAGTCAGATCAATTATTATTCACTTACGTTATTATTCACTTACCCCTGGGAAAAGTATGAATCTTCTCCCCCCAGCTATGAGTAAATATCAGAAGAGACTGGGTTCTGACAGGCAGCCGGTGTAGGATAAGGAAAACTTCAAAGCGGCCCGGCGTGAGTTGGGCTCCAAGAAACACAACTTCTACTCTAGAGTCTTGGGGACTATTTTGCAGTACATGTGGTGCCTCTACGCCCCAGGCGGGTCACATGATCGTGACGTATATAACGAGTTCCATAATGTCCGGAGTGAGTCTTAGTCCCAATAAACGTTCGAGGTAAGTAACCTCATTGAGAATACAACCACTCACCAGGAAAAAAAATTGTTAGAACTGCTCAGCAACCTTGACATATTTGGAAGGATATTAAAATAATCAACAACCTATACTGGCATGTTAGAAAATGAGATTAGCAGATACACAAAAACAATAGAAAGGGCTGTAATACAAGGATGTATCTTCTCATCGGAGTTATTAAACCTATACGGGGAGGCCATTCTGAGAAAAATCAGACGTCCGACCAGGATTCACTATTGTCGACCACAGTCTTAACATAAGTTATAGAGATGTTACAGTGTTGATGTCACACACGGAAAGAAAACTACAAAAGCTCCTACAGGAGGTAGCAAAGGAAAGCGAGAAGAAAGGACATAAACCACATGGTCGTTAGGAAAAAGGATGAATCCAAAATGCATATTCCAAATTTGGGGTACCAAAATCATACAAGTACAAAAATTTAAATATCTAAGAAGTGTTCTAACAGAGGATGGAAAGTGAAATCCGAAGACGCATTGGGATAGTCAAAGATACATTCCAAAAACTAAACAGAGTCTTAAGAGACAGAAAAACCTTCGTTAGAAACAAAACGGTGAAAATTGGCCATACAAAATATTAGCTTATATATAAAATAGAAAATTCACTTCTTTAAATAAATTTCATGCCTGGAAGTGTGTACTGCCTTTTAATTTTATGCTATCGAGATTTTTGTTCGCAAACTTTTAGCCGAGACTGCATTATATATATATATATATATATATATATATATATAGACATACACACACACACAAACATATATATATATATATATATATATGTGTGTGTGTGTGTGTGTGTGTGTGTGTGTGTAGAAAAAACAGCACGTGTGGTCTGATGATTTGTTTTAGCATTGAGCAGTCTGTCGCCACTGAGTCTTGACTTCAATGTTCACTTTTATATTTACATACGCTCTATCTCTGATATTAAACTCTTTATCTCATAAATATAGCGCACCTTAAAACTGTATTTCTTCATATACATATATGTGTGTGGGGGATCTGGGGGTGAGAGAGAGAAAGAGAATGTGAGAGAGATAAAAAATATAGTTTTAATGTATGGCATATGGGTAAAAGAGCTTAATATCAAAGATAGAGCGTATATAAATATATAAGTGAACATTGAAGTCAACATTCAGAGGCGACAGACTGTTTCATGCTTAGCGCAATCACCAGGCCATATGGCTTGCGTTCAAGCATGAAACAAACTCTCGACGCTTGGCGTTGACCTCACACTCCCCTTTTATCTATCTCTCTCTATGTCTCTCTCTCTCTCTCTCTCTCTATCTATCTATCTATCTATCTATCTATCTATATATATATATATATATATATATAT